AGGGTGACCAGCCGCAACCCTAGACACCCACCCCCAACCATACTGAGGCCTTGGGAGGCGTCTGGCCCAATTTTCCTCCTAATTCTTGACGCACATTCTTGCGACATGGTTCGACTGATTGGTGCAGCTTTCGTAACATTCTGGCTTCCTACCCCTGGAATGACTGTTTCTTTTCCTCCGATTTCTCTGTCTCGGCTTCGAATTTTTCCTAAGTTCTTTAACAAAGCATGCATCTGTTTATTCCTCATTTCACTAAAACCAGCAAGCCCATTTCTCCAAATTGGTTTAACCACCTCGCGCTGTCCCTAAACAGAAATCAGCGTTCCGCCGCTGGTGTCGTTCACCTTCCCCCAGTTCCCGCCAATGGTTTTTGTTTGAGCGAAACAATTGCACAACTATCATAAAGAAGGCTAAGGAGCACTTTGCTGAGCGCAAAGCAGCACAATTGGCGACCGCTCCTTCTGGATGCCGGACATTCTGGTCACTCGCTGAGGCTAGTCTCCTGTATCTTTTGTTCCGCTAACTTCCCATCTGCTATTAAACCATCTGGTGACTTAGTATCCCATCCGTTGGAAAAAGCTTCCCATTTTCCTTCCAGTTCTACCCTACTAGAATCACCCATCCAACCCTGCACATACTACGGCAAACCATCTTTTCACACTGCTCATTTCCACTCGAAGGATACGTCAAATCCTCTTATCGCTGGATCCGACGGGATTCCTCCCATTGTCCTCAAAATGTGCGCCCCATAACTGGCTCCCCTCCTACGCCACTTATTCTGTCTGTCCCTCAATTCCGAGATATTTCCAACCCCATGGAAAATATCGGAAAACTGATTGATGTGAGAGAGGTGGGACGGTAGTTGTTTGGGTTAGAGTGGTCGCCGCGTTTTGGGATGGAAAATATTTCTGATATTTTCCATCCCAGAACGCGGCGACCACTTTGACCCAAACAACGTAAGTCCCCTTCGCCCGATGGAATACATCCAGCAATCGTAAAACCGATACTGGATATAAGTGGCGGGACCACTAAAGAATCTATACGAACCCATTCTGGACCAGAGCAAGCTCCCGAGGGACTGGAAAACAGCTTTTGGTTCCGTCAACTACAAATAGCCGTAAACTAAACTCAAACAAAAGGGGAAAATACATAACTGGACCAGGGAATTCCTGACCGGTCGCACGTTTTAAGTGAGGATTGGGTCAAAGTACCTGCTGAAGCCATACCCACTAGTGGAGTACCACAGGACTCCGTACTCGATCCCTTACTGTTCCTCATTTCAATAGACGACTTGGCTGCCATTCTACGTTCACCTTGCTTTATCTTTGCAGATAGTGGGATCAACGAGTCGGAAGCAATTACAAGACGACCTGCGTAGAGCAACGGAATGGACAACAATATGGGACCTACCACTGAATGCAGAGAAAAGCAATTTACCATCTCGTGCTGAAGAGCACCTATTACTCTAACTAGGAGGGGGTTTCACCACAGGGGTTGTAAGAACTAGCAGAGACATCGGTGACGGCAGATTTTCACTGGATGAACCAGTGTGCACTGGCTGCGTCAAGTGCGAGAAGAGAGCTGTTCAGGCCTAAGTCAATACTATCGTGTACGAAACCCAACGTATTCCTCCCCCTTTACAAATCCATAGTTAGGCATTACTTGGAGTACTACAGATTTAGACTCTGCTTCAAAAAAGGATGCGGCCTGTTTAAAGAAAGTGTAAAGATTAACCAACCGGCTCAATTGGGTATCAAGGTGTATTGTATACCTTGGACGTTTAGCCCCGTCCAATGGGCGTATGGACGGGTTCAAATGTTCAAGGTGCGTATGCTCGGCAAGGGCAGAGGTGTATGCTGCCGAGCGTGTCCCCAGGTCGCGGATAGAGGAACAATCGCCAATTCGCGGTTAATCGGGCATAAGATGGGCTTAATCCCCCTCCCCCGAATAAGCAGTCGCTGTCGATCAGCGGCAGTGCTCGAGGATGTTTGAGGATGGGCTCACTAATTGGCAAGGGTTCTCCATACACAACACTAAATATATCTTTTGACAGCACTGTGGCGCGGTGAGTATGGCCAGCCACTGAATATACTCATTGAACCCCTTGCCTGGTTCTATCTATCCGACAAGGTTCTCCAGAGGAGGTGAATGAACCAATCAACTTATCACCGGCTCACTTGGAACAATGTTAGTATCTCGTAGTTCGCACTTGGTTGCACTCTCGAGCAAGGCCTACTCCGAACTGGGCGACCGAGTAGTACAACAACCCACAACGCATACAATAAAATATGAAATCTCTGTTATCCAAGAATTTGTACCCACAGGTTTCCTTATTAGAGAAAATCGTTCTACGATGTACACATCTTCCTGTTTTCCACACACACACCCCTCATATGCACCTCCAATATTTCTAATTCTATCGGGGTCTTCAGACAATCGCACTAACAGTTGTGCCTCAAATGGAAATCCTTCCCCTATTCTCTTGCGTATTGCCTCGAATAGCTCCCAAGTCTCACCGAATCTTCCACCGGCTGAAGCTATTCCTTATCCTCCATGCCCTTTCAAACTAGCCACACAACATGCGTACCCAGAGTTATCTTCATCATCATCGTATAGCTGTATTGCACTGCTCTACGGTTGCGGGACCTGGCCCCTCTGCGTTGAGAATGCTGATCGACTTTCCGTATTTGACCACCGATGCCTTCGTTCTCTCTCTCTATATGTATCACACACGCCTGATGCCAGACTACCAAACAAATTGTGGTACAATAATAATATGATAATAATAAAAGAAAAACGCTCCACGATTTGCAAGTGGACTGCCAGGTTGCCCAGGCCAAGGCAGGTGAATTTTCTTGGGGAATCCATAACCAGAGCCTTTGGTTAACCAAAACGTGACCCGCAAGGCAGCGGGGTGGAGTGCGAAAATCGCAATCCATTGGGAGCCGGTGTCCAGTTCATCGGATCATACGCCTTTCGGACGGAATCAAACGTCCAAAGAGCCCAATCGAGCCGGTGACCATTGCCACAACCGGAAAGATGTGGGTGTGGCTCGTACGCCTCTTTGGTTTGGAATCAGGGTTTTTAGCAAACTCCTAGGTGAACTGCCAGTAGTTTATCAACCCGGCTATAGCCCCGGATATCGGCTTTTCGTCCCCTCACTTTCGTGCAAAAGACCTCCGCCATGAGAAGGCAGTAAGTAGGACTTCCTCAACAGAGGCTATTTGAGACGCTTGGTTGTATGGGAGCATTTAGCGAGGTGCAAGGGACGGGTGATCAGCCGCAACCCTAGTAACCCACCCCCGACCATACTGAGGATTCCGGTCTACACCGCCTATACCTGCCCATCTTCTGCCTCCACGCTTTCTTTGCACATGTTGGGCAAGGCTGGAAGAAGCCCCGCGGCGGTCAGACCTAAAACTGCGCGTAACCCCAGGATTGCTTGACCGGTTTCTCCACCAGATTCGAACAATGCTGCGTAGACAGCGGTACTAGAAAAGCTGAGGGATATGGCTCAGAATAGAAGTCAGTGGAGCGATTTTTGTGCGGTTTGTTTGTCGAAATCCCGTTGACCATAATCAACATGAAAACTTGAGAAAATCTGTCCCGTGACACTAACAAAAAAAATGTTCACTTGTTTTTTCCATATTCCTTTCATCAATATGTATTCTTTTCTACATTTTCTCATTGTTTTTGCGTTGGTACCATTCTTGTCCGCAAGCCAATATGATTATGTACATATAATGTAGCCCCGGATCTTCGTTTTTCGTCGTCTCACTTTGGTGAGAAAATACCTCCGACACGAGAAGATATGGATTAGGGCTTCATCAGCAGAAGCTATTTGAGGCGATTAGTTGTATGTTTTGTGGGGTGCAAGGGGGGGGGGGGGGACGNGAGCCGCAACCCGAGTAACCCGTCCCTGACCGTACTGAAGGCTTTCAGAGGTACGTTTGCTATATTTGACTAAACTGAGCCAATCAATTTTCAAGGAAGTCTGACGGCGCTGCTTTCCCAGCTTGTCAATTGCCTCAAGGGGTATCTGATAGGAGATTTCTACTTATTGGGTGGACGGGATCTACTGCCTAATCCAGCAAATATTAAAGCTTCTGTCTAACTAAAAGAGATGCAACCGGCTACCAAGCATCAGCATCCTGCTTCCTTGCAGTCCACACAAAGTTATGCTAAGGCTTGAGGTGCGTCCTTGAAGGATCGGCAAAATTGAGGACTTCTCTTAAAGCATAACCTATCTAACTGTCGCCATCGTACAGCGAAATGCTGTGAAACGAAATTAATTGATGCTGTGGAATATCGAATGTTACGACCTATGAAGAACAGTCTACTGCTGTTTCGTCCTGGTTGGAACTTCTCTTAAGTACGTAGTGTTATACTTCCCAACTCAACCGTGAACTCGGGTTGGAGGTCGAAATTCCCACCTCGAACTACACTACCCACCTTATGATTTCCATGAGGCGGGCTTATCTTTTCCAAAAAGCCGTCCAAAGTAAACCAAATAAAAACTAACACGTAATTGCCTTCGTTCGTTTAGCCAATCATCGGGGCGTCCCTCTTCGGGTACAATCTTTACAGATATCCACTCAAAACATGAATATCGTGCCTAGTTAGTTGAGTCAGTATCTGTTATTTGAATGCAATGGCAGGTGTTATAAACGAGATCCTGCACTCGTGTGCACCGAAAGTTAAGTATTGGAGTCGTATTTCTGAAGACTTCTGTATGCTATGACGATAATACCAATTCATTATTTTTTGTTTTAGGGTTTTTAGCATGTATATCGATCGTTGTGATGTCTAAACTGGTGAGCAGAAGACTTCAACGATCTCATGTATCCTGTCCTGAATGGGACACACATTCAGTTGCGGGGAATTCCGCGGATTACTCATGGTATTCAACTGCTATTGGAACATCCAGCAATCACCGTGGGGCCCTTGTCGACAATAGAGTCAAAGTGGTGGTTTCGGTAGAACAGACACTTTATGACGTCGTCGAGCTGCTGGAACAACGTCTGGGTCTCTGTTTATCCGATTGCCAATTTTACCTGCAAGATCGAATAAAAGTAAGTAGCATACTTGAGCATCTATCTTTCATATCTTAGTTACGAGGTGAATCTCCGTTGGTGGAACATTGTGTCGAAATTTCCGGTCTCGTACAACTGCTCCTAGAGATAAAAACCGCTCATGGGGGTTATCCAATGCGTTTGAATGTGGTCGACATTCAGATTCCAGAGCATTTGGATCAAAGCCAGTCTGGGTATTCGTCTTCCAAGTCCGGTTTACCAGCCCTCACGTACTCGAATGCATCCACAGTGAACTCACTCCAGGTATGTGCGGTTCATTCGTTTGCTAGTAATATGCACTGACTGAAAATGGTTATGATCTCCGTTCTTCTGCGTAGTCGCAGTAAAATGCTTTGGTGGACGATCCCGAGCGAATTTTTCTAAGCATGGAGATTTTCCATGAGGACTCTCCNATATATATATATAATTTTTTATGCTTTACATACCGTAATATATATTATACTCTAGTATTCGTGTATACAAAAATCACATCAGCCCGGTTAACTTTATGCTGGTCCTGTAGGTTTTGTTAAAAGAACTATTTTATTATATCTGAGCTGCAGTCCATGGAAGTGTACACTGAGACGACAAGTTGCATTTATCGTGGCTACGACTTCTTACTTCTGTACGAGCGTCTAAGTCTTATTGCAAACAACTATCGAATAGGATCGCGAGACAGAATACGGTCCGACAGCGTGGCTTCAGCTCTCTCCCTGAGAGATTCGCAGCTTCAGGGAAGCGTTATTGAAAATTCGTGGCCTGATTTGAGGGAAATATCAGTTGTATAATGAAGCTAGAGTCTTGAATGCGAGTCTCTTGGATGCAACACACCTCAATGGCTGGGGTCTCGAGCATACGATTTCAACACGCCTGTTGTCATATACCAGTCAGAGTGCACATATTGTTACTAGTGTGAGGGGGATATTGAGAACGAAAAGCTTCAGTTGTCGAGTTAAGATGCGAGGGATAAGCTGTAGAATTTACACGAGGCACTGTTAGGTACAATTATCTGAAGTTTCTGACAAATGAACGTTTGAGACAGGGGCAGGGCGGCAATGAGATGGATAAAGGTAGGAAAATTAGCTCGTGGATGCATCTCCACTTTATCTTGTAGTTGTGTTATGGCTTTTGACTGATAACCGTGATCGTTTCTCCTGTCCTACTGGTTTATTTGTCCTATCCGTTCGAACGACTGATGAATGCGAGACCTGGCCTCTCCGAGCGGGAAATGATAATCGACTTTCTGTATTCGACCTCTGATGTCTCCGAAGCAATAATTCACTTTTGCTACCTCGGGCATCTACATGATTTTACCACTGTTGTAAGCGTAGCTTATGGATAACAGCTATTTCTACCTGTCTTGTTTCTTTTTCAGTCATCATATACCAACAAACCCCGATCAGAGGAGTCGCGTTTGGCCGCGTCCGAGACCACCGGTTCAAATGTGACTCATGCTACCCCGGATCCACCATGTATATCTCCTCTCATGGTGGCCGTCGCAACCGCTGCTGCCGCAGATATCGCGGCCGGTGGGACAGGTCTTCCTGATACGGACCCCGATCAAATAAAGCAAGAAGCTGTTACAAATCGTTTGGTTTCGGATGCAGATCGCACATCGCCCGGTGATACAGATATCAGTTCCACTCTCTCCTACTCTTCATCTATGCATAATATTGGGTCCATTTTCCCCATGCTCCCGACGACCTATGATTATGACAGCGTTGCCCGTTGGGTAGCGGACAATCATTATCGGCGATTGATGGAAATGAACGATATTCCCCGTGATCCTGCCAAATGGAACTCCACCCAGGTCAGTGATACCAGCTTCTAGCGTACGCGCATTCTTGATCAGTATCCTGGTGGTACTATTGGCTTTTACTCTTCTTCTCATTGTTCAACCAGACAAGTAGCCGAAAGATGAAAGCCTAAACTAGCATTCGGAAATGTGAGGTTAATGGCTGTGCAAGTTGAAACAAATTATTACCAATGACTCCCGTCTACCGTTCATTGTTCTTTTAAATTGTCACCTCTAACACTCAACCCTGCAGGTGTATAATGTGCATTCGCATGCCATTGTCTATTTAAAAAGTTAAAATTTATCGATTTGCCTGCTCAAACTAGGCAGTGCTGTTTACAGAAAACAGGTTTCGACAGAACATTAAACTTTTTACCGGAACAACTTGGTATTATTACATTTCACGCTTGTCTGAATCCAGGTCTTACAACAAAATCACGGTAAAATTGAGAAAACTTCCGAAAACCCCAGTGGGTTGGTGCATCATCGCCCCCCTTTAAAATATCCTCACGAAATGCGTCTGATTGCATTCACTTGATGGGGCTGTTTTCACTAGAGTGAGAGGGTGAAAGGACAATATCCGGGATTATAATTGGGTTGATGCATCAGCTATCTAGTCTTTTTAAATAAATATTTCCCTTTTTATTTGTTGAATTTATGCAAGTAGGATTTTTTTCATCAGAAGGCTTGGTGACACTTTAGGGTTGCCTGAGGTGATTTAGAGAACAGGAGAGAGGTTGCTGTTGGTGAGTTCTCCGAGCAAGAAGTGTTGTTCGCAGACGTTTCGTAGCCAAGCCAGGCAACATCATCAGTGCGACTTCGAGGAGATAGTTGGGATGGGATTCATCCACACGAACTCTTGGTTACCGTTTCAGTGACATCCAGTTTGTGATGGTCATTAGTTTCACTGGGCGTATTTCACTCTTTGGGTTGTGCCCAAGGGACAGGTGACACGACATTGGATACTGGTCCTCATGAGCTGCGGTTCCCCGCCGCCTTACGGATCAGGCTAACCAAAGACTCGTTCTAATTCCGCCAGGGAATTCACCTGCAACCAAGTAGCCTTGATTTTGAAGGTTGTCAATTTATCGCCCCAAATTTAATCTGTTCGAATCTTATCACCACAGTCTAGATTGCCCCTTGTCTTTGTACTGCAGGACAGCCCTTTGACTGATTTTTTCCTCTTCCTGGAAAATTAAACATTTATCTGTACAATAAAAGATTGTAACTCCTAAACCCAACGGTAGCTTTGTTACATCATTATCTTATCGCCTTCTGTATTATTTTGAAACCGTACCATCTCGTTTCCACAAGTACATACGACGTAAGTTTGTTCAGGTCATTTGACGAGGAAAGATTTCCCTCTGTTCATTCCTATCGTATCAGGTCATTATGTGGATCAACTGGGCCTGCAAACAATTTCGCATAAATGGCGTTAAAGGCGACAAGCTCTTTGATATGCCCGGTTCACGTATGCTCGCTCTCAGTGCAGACGACTGGAGGCGCTTGATTCCCAATGCTACCGTCAACTTTCTTACGCACTTGGAACTTCTCAAGCGTTGTCGTGAAATCTGTACGTCTCGTTCACAGATACTTGACTTATTTACTTAAATGTACCGTCTGTTGACCTCCCAGCAGACTTTGATTCCATCATCAGACCACACCACACGGTTGCTTGTCCCCGTCACATGCGTTGTCCGTGTCTGGTGACGACATTCTAGTAACCCTCAGGTCCAAATATGTTTATTGAGTACATATAGATGTCGTCTGGACGAAGTGATTACACTGTACTTGAGTATCTTGGACAGTGCATGTCTGCCAATGGTCCTTGTGTCGAATAATGTTAGCGACCTCTTGGTACGTCTGTGGAAGTCGTCACAATGGTCGATCCATCACCTAGCGCAATAGCAAGACAAGCCTAACGATAGCATTAACTTTGGGCGATCCTTCTCGACGGCGTATTGGGGTCCAAGGAACGACTTAAATTGCTGTTTAGAACGTTGCTCCGGATTCAAAGCCAGTGGTCTATATGTTGTGAAGGTCTATTGTGTGAATGTCCTTGCAACAATGGTAATGGTATTTCGCTTTTAATGGAATAAACTGCTGTAAAATCTATTTTCCGGAAAGAGAAACCGTCAAGAGACCAACATGGGGTATGCATAAGTGAAGAATACAACCAGTGTTGATGAAGTTCAAACACGACCTTCAAACCGATTTGACAGGGACTTATGCTAATTGACCACCAGCATCAGTCCAAACTGCCCAGCAGGAGAGGATGATATTTGTGATCAACCTCACGGAGAGATTTGACCGCATATATACAAGGCAGAGAGATAATAAACAGAAACTCTAATGTACTCGGTCTAAATTTTCTATTTGCAGTACAACCGTCTGCCATGGTTAAACGAGCTTAACTTGATACCACAGATATAAATAGCTATACTGTCGGTGACTAGGTCATTCACGAATCCCGTCTTTTGTTTCTTACTGACAAATAGCATTATGCTGTAACCACCAATGAGTCATCGATAACATCCTGTTCATTTAATTATCAAAGCTTTGCTGATTTGTCGAATCGTCTTCATTTCAGGTGTCCCATACCAGCCACAGCCTCCACCAGCCTACACAGTTGCGCAACAATCTCAACGTCTATACCGTCAGATGAGCCGGTCTCGCCTGCGAAATTCCCGCCACGGTGGCGATTCCGCTACTACCTTGAATAGAACGTACAGTGGAAGTGAGTTCAGTTCGTTTAGTCTGATCGCCGAATTTAAGAGAATGGGCATCAGGTCTTTTCGTACTTAACTGAGTTTTCTCCATGTATGTAGAATCCTATTCGTTGGAAACATTGGTAGCGTATTATTGGATTCCTCGTTCTGTTGTATTCAGTAATAAGCAAATGCTTTACCATCCTTCCAAACGAATTTATAGTGACACCAGCCATCACTCGACAGATATTACTCATTAAAGAAGTCCATCGACGCAACGCGCCTCAGCCGTTACGCTCTTGCACGGCTCACATCGTATCGGGGCGTCCAGTTATTCTTAAGTCCATACCCCGTTGTTACTATTGTTGGTTCCCAGTAGCAGTTTCGGTTCATATAACCAACGATCAGCAGCAGCAGCGATCACTAAAGTTCGCTTTACTGTATTACACTGTACGATGATGATGATATAACTGGTAACTTTGCTTTCTTGTTGCTGTCCTTTAGGCACCCATTTGGATGAGGGAGTAGTAGAAGCAGTTATGAGGCTAGGAGCAGTACCAGAAGAAAGGTACCGGAATCGATTCAGCTATTTCTTTCCGAAAAAATCAGTGTATGCACAAACGGTACTGTTTGTGATAATCAGTCGTCACCCAGCATCTCTATTGTTTAGTTTCGTAACGGGGAAGCCATGCGATCTATGCGACCGACAGACTATTAATTTTTCGTACCGTCATGCCAGGTTTCGGTTTAATCAAACTTGTTTTTCCACCTGAATCCTACTAACTATGGTTTCCGCTCCTATTTTCTATCACTCCAAAGTGTATAATGAAAAACCTTTATGTGTGTTTGGTGTCCGGTATCAGCTTTCCGGTGCCTTTTGCCCAATCTCAGCACTGCTGATCCGATTGTTGAGCCACACACAGACGGTATCTTCAACGCGTTCTAGTTGCACATTTAATGCAAAAAATTGGGAACAACTTAGTACGTTCTTTGGTATCGTCCAAGACGAACTGGCGCAGTCCCTCAGGGGCCTTGTTCTCATCCCACGATATTTTCTCAATGAGCACAATTCTTTCATAATTTATCGCGGAGGTTCTACTCATGGAACTAATCACAAGACATTTTTCTTTATACAGACCGTTGTACTGTGATTTGTTTGGCACAGTCTGTACTCAAACGTGGTATATATATATATATATATATATATATATAAGGTCTGTTGTCGCAAGTTTTCACTGGTACAATACCTGCACATCACTTATCTGTGATGCTGCCTCGTCTAACTAAAATTGGTTATGGTTCGCGTTCCTTTTCTCTTTCCATCGATATCCACTCCTCGCACAGGTGGAGTTCTGTTCACTCCGGCCTATCCTTCGGCTGTCAACGGGATTGGCACGAGCAATTTCCATACCCGATTTCTAGGCTCCAAGTACAATTTTTTGGACGGAGGACATACGTTCTTACCTATCTCAAATACGGTTGCAGCACGTCCAGCTGTTGGAACGTGTGGATCCCTTGGGCCCGGCATCACCGGTCTGTTGTCGGTGGTCCCTCCGTCTTTGAGACCAGCAGGTCAGGTAAGAACCTGGTTGATGTGCGAATCAATGGATTCGCATTTTTCAACGATTGTGTCAAGTTCAAGAGGTGACAGTTTTCGTCTGTGTTGTACGATCGGCTACAAAAAGCGTGACATTTACATTGTTCGCGTATCCTTTATTTTCCAGTTAAAAGATTACAAATCAGACGTCGAACTAATAGATCGATGACTGCATGCATTCAAATGCATCATGATGTTCCGGAAAGGGTTTGTTCTTAAGGTTTTTATACAAAATCGTTTTATTTTCTTACCTGGATAAATTATATACGCACTATTGCAGTGGTGGTAGTGTATATATAGTACACGCACAATTGTTAGACAGATAATAGTGACATAATGCGGGATAGATAGCCGCTCTCACAGACAAGGTTTGAATGCTTGCAGTTTGCACGACATATTGCGGACAATACAGGGCCATCTGTGCTGTGCTGCAGTTTAATTATTCTCACCTGTGAGATAAACTGCAAACGTCAGTTTTTGTGTTCTTGCCATAACAGTCCCGCTCCAAACAACCAAGTACACGGTAATACATCAACAGCACCAGTCTTCAATCACTCATTTGACGGCCCGGATTGTCCGAAAAGTACTTTCTCGATTGCTTTCGTTTCTTACCATCCTTATTGATCACGCTGGTTCAATTCGTTTTCCGTTACCTAAGCGAAACTCTCTCTTTGTTCATTCCCTCCAGCACGCTAACCGTATTAATCTTTATCTAACTATTCTGCTTCATGATGATTGTGACATCCCTAATATCATCTGGACTTTAAGCTACGTTATGGAATTTCTAGAATTCGGTGGTTGCTCTCTCTTCTTGAGTCCTTTACTTTTCGACTGCTTGTGTCTTTGGAACGGACTAAAAGATTTTGCTTCATCGTTGTCAGACATGTCTGTGCTGAAAGACGGAAAACAACTTTGTTTCTTGATAGATGTAATACTATCGATCCCACGAACACCAACTATTATCATTCGTGTGCTTATTTTTCCACTACCGCTCTGCTTTCCAACACACCCGAATTAGTCTAATCAGTTGGCCCACCTAACACAAGGGACAAACACACTTTCAACGGTCACTGGTGTAGACAACCCATCAGCGGTGGCCGCAGCTGCAGCAGCCGCTGCTGCCGCGGCAGCTGCTGCGGCCGCTGGTCAAGTTCAACTGTGGCAATTCTTGCTCGAGCTGTTGACCGACTGGCGGCATCGAGAAGCGATACATTGGATCAGCGATGATGGTGAGTTCAAACTGAGCAATCCGGAACAGGTCGCCACCATGTGGGGATTACGGAAGAATAAACCAGCGATGAATTACGAAAAACTGTCCCGGGCTCTGCGGTACTACTACGATGGTGATATGATATCGAAGGTGAGTTCGGTCCCGTCCTACTTTGCAGCTGTTCTTTTTTCATGCGTCAGGTGATATATATGATTCACCTGCGACTGTGATGATGCAACAAGAGAACCACCGTGATGAATTTGCTGCGGTTTTATGAAAAAACATTATTGTTTCAGCTATCGTTCTCTCGTTTTCAATCCCTCGGTCATATGCATTGTTCGTTGTGCGTGCAGTTTGAATTGTATTTTTTTTAAACTAGAATAATCGTTACCACATTTCTCAACCTAATGTGCTCTGTGTGACTTAATCCATCATTTACATGGCCTTTGGGGAGTGAGTATTGTAGGATCAGTTTCAACCACTGAAACTTTCTTTGCGATGCGGACAATTCACCTCCGGACGACTTTCATCCGCTAGTGTAAATATCGTTGGAAAACAGATGATGGTTGAAAGAGAATTGTAGAGTATCATGATGGACAAAACGCTACTGTGTGCAATGCCACTTGAGGCTTTTCACTGGCAGTGATTAGGACTCTGGGATTGCATCTTAACTGAAAAAATAATATGCTGCTTGAAAAGATTACAAAATTACTACGCTAAGTTGATTATCGACTGTGTGGACCGCATTGAGCTGTGAGCTGTCATTGAACTCCAACAAAAGCTAATATGCTTTATTGGTAGTAATTTTACATTCTTAATCCTAGCGTCCATTTTTCCTACATAACTTGCTAATTTGATAGAGAGTAAAAGTGGTCAGTTATGAAAAAAGCAATCTAATCCCTGGGATTTGGCATAACGGATTACTTGATGGCTGTGTGATCTTATGAGCCTCTGCAATCGTAAATTTGTGTATTCCTTAATTTGAGTGGGTTAAAAGCATTTATAGTTGAAAATCAACACTGGTGGAAACCTAGTGGTGGTGGCGCAGTGGTTTAGTCGCCCCAACTCCGGTGGTAGGCGGCTTTGCTGTCACCCGGTTCTATACCACGCCTAACCTAGCGGAGCCTTATATGTTTCGCCCGATACTTAGGTTGCCGGTTACCATCACTGAATAGCAAGTCTTCGTGATTATGGTATCCGCTCCGTCTGCTGTTCATCACGCATTGGTGTATAACCAAAAAAATAGTATTAGATACATTGAGCCACAAATCGTTAACTGTAAACCATTGAAATGAGTACTCATTTCAGCGAACCAATAAAGTTCGTGTGTTATTGTCCACGGTACTTATTCTTTGTGTTACTCTTTGAGTATTCGTCTTTTTGGTGTTCAGTCACATTCCCGGAGGTAATAGAAGTTAGGTAAACTGTCACCATTAATAATCTGCTGTCGAGGTTTCTCGTTTTGTCTGCAATAATCAGAAAGTTATTGTTAATCGGAGAATGCAGAGTAAGTTGAATTAGGAAATTTTTTATGTGTTCTATTATAGTTCGTTTTAACTTCATCTGCTGTTTTTCAACGTTAATGCCATTCGAACATTTCTTTTTTTTCAACGATTTCCGCAGGTTCATGGGAAGCGTTTTGTCTATAAATTCATCTGTGACTTGAAAACATTACTGGGGTTTTCCGCCGGTGAATTGTATTTGCTTGTTAAGAACTGTGCCGAGAAGCATGCTGCCAGAAATCGGAAACGACGAGCGGTAGGGTCGTTTGCCACAAATAACGCAAACGCCAAGGCACCAATGTCCAATCACGACCCATCTGTGTTCTCAAAATCTGATTGCCCAAATCCTTTCGGCTCTAATCCACTCAATTTAGACGGATTTAGCAGCCCACCTTCCCTTCGTCAATCATTTGGTTTATACTCTTCAACCAATACAGAATCCAGTTATCCGTTTTCAGGTCTTGAGGTTGGACCAGGCCTAGAGAGTTTGTATGGTGGGTCCCTCTCTCCTGATGACTACCCCATTGCGCATGGTGTTAGCGACTCGAAATCGCAACGCCTTTCTCCTCAGCTTGAAAGTCCTA